TTCGGGTGGACCGCGAAGACCTCGATCCATTGGGCGGTCCCCATAGTCGGCTCGACGATCTTCACAGCTGGCGCTATGCTGTTGTACATTTCAATTCTGAATTACCTCGCAGAATCGTATCCGAAACACATGGCTTCCATTTTCGCCGGGAACGAGCTGTTCACCAGCTTGTGCGGAGCGACTTTTCCCCTGCTCGTCCCGTCAATGTACCACAAGTTTGGCATTCTCGGATCGAGCATGATCTTGGCCATAATCGCTATGGCATTTGTGCCTCTCCCCTATATACTAGCCATGGTAAGAACTCATTCGAGCACCACATATACGAACCAAGCTGACTCTATGGCAGCGTGGCCCCGAGCTCAGGAAGCATAGCAATTACACAGCAAAAAGATGGCCATGAGTGAAGACATGTTATTAAGGGGGTGCTAGACGAGGAAAACACAGTGAGAGCGGTTTGCCATGTGGCCTTTGAAAGAACAACTCGGCCGAGCTACTCAATGACGTGTTTCATTTGAAGAGGCTAAGGGATCGACAGTGAATGGTGCGTCTAGGTCGTCTAAGATGAGCTATGTCAACTGTATATAGACTCGACATCTAACATATGGAGCAGGACTTGAAGGTGACCCTCAGATGCTGAATTAAAAGACGCAGCATTAATACATGTGTCTGACTTGGCCTAAATTACGTTACTGGAGAGCGAGGGGGTGTCCTCGTTGGTGTTGCTGAGGGTGAGGTGTGTGTCCTGGTTTGACGATTATCTAAATGCAATTACTCAGATAAGGACTTTTTTGAACCATAGCAGCATTCAGAGGGAAACGATTAGATCTGTAAAGACAGAACTAGAGGTTAAGTAGAGAAATAGGAATGAGCAGTTGTCAATAAACGACCACCTACTGCCCTTCCTGCCACATTAGAACAAGGTCATCTGGCCCGAATATTTCTAGAGTTACCCTCCTTTCCCATCCTCTTATTCGGTACAAATTTCTTCCCTCCGCCAACCTCCATCCTCATCACCTTACCTACTTCGCCAGCACCCAGCACCAAACAAAATGAACCGACCAGCCAATCTGTTGGCTCAGATGCTCAGGACCTATCTGGAGAAGAGGATGACATCAAGATGGTAGATGGCAAACAGTGGGAGGTTGCCCGGCGACGATTGGACCAGCAGCGTACGACCGAGCCGAGCCAAGATGGTATCTACAGTGCTACACCACCTCGCAATCATGGCCAACCGCCAGGCGACGATGATATCCGGGTGGCGTCAACTCCTCATGATCGGGACAGACGACCAGTCAGAGAGAGTGATTTGGCTCATCACAATCAGCACCAACTGCCAGTCGGAACTGATGTTCCGATGGTGACCCCACCACGCAATGTGAACCATCAACACGCAGCATCAGCTCCAACCGTTCTGGTGCCACGGAACCAACTACCGCCAGGAAAGGCTTTTGAAAGTTGCGACAATTCGGCTCAAAAGCTTTCGGCTTCTATTAAAGTCAGGGTTTAAGTGCCCGCGGGCTTTGGGACCCATCGACGCTGGGCTACTCGTCGGTTAACGAAACTCGAAGCTGACTGTGTCGAGGGCATTCTTGGCTCCTATGGATCGGTGGGGGATAGAACTATTCAACGAATCCAGAACATCTTGCAGCATATTCAAGATGGAAAATTTGTTTCCTCCGTCGTTTTTGGCCTGCGCAATCGGAAACCACCTGGGACGCCAAGCTCAACACACTACAGCCATATGACTCTTCCAAAGAGGCGAGGAGGCCGAACTGATTGTTCTGCTCCAACACTTGACCTGTGCGCTGGGAATTCGGATATGAACATCTCCCACATCCCCATCAACACAAAACCAGGTGCCCGGGCCGCTCTCACTGACGACCCCCTCTCTATGGGTATCGATAATATCCTCATGTTTTTAACAGCCACTCCACCTTAGGCAACTCAAATCAGGTCACCGTCTTCGCCTGCTGCAGCAACCGCGCAGTGTGGCTCTACCTTCAAACCCCGAGGCCACCACTACCAATGACGCCCTGCATGTTGAAGATGTAGCTATAATTGATATTCACCCTACACCTACACTGAGCCAGTCATGCGCCAATAAGTTCACTGGGTTGGCCTAGACTAGGGCTGCTATGCGTCACGAGCTCTATACAGAAGCTTGACGCCATCATTGAAGCCGACCTGATATGCATAACTATTAAGCCCCGGGCTTCTTGGTCGTTTGCCCAAAGGTACGTCTGAGATCTGGCTTTCTGAGTGACTATTCTGACTTGCTGTTATAGATCAACTGAAGCAGCAATAGTGCGTATGTTGCCATTTGAAGGTGAAGAATGGAGGAAACACTGGGTAGCGAGACTGCTGGCCGAAGAGGGGCCCTGTGATAGATGTGCCATTGAGGGTATGCAGCGCGGGATGTAACAAGGATGGATTGTCATCTATGCATCCCCCAAACAAGACAAACGCCCTCCTTTGACTTTCCGGTTTTCCAATATCATATCCCTCCTCTCTCCTTCCTTCCTTTCCTCATCAACGGCCGGTCGTTTTGCGTCTCAAAAGCGTCAAAACCGCTGGTCAATCATCTGGAAAGCCCATCTCCCCTCATCGCTTTATCATGGCAGGAAACCTCGCGGCAAGGACGGTGCAAACCTGACATTCGACGGCTACTTTCGCGCCATTACCATCTACGGTGGTGAAGCTCGTCTTCTTGCTCAGAGCAAAGGATCAAGAGCTTCGTTCGAGCGATTCCGTACCAAGTACCCGGATCAGATCGCCAATTTCCGCCAACAGGCCAAGCAATTGGGCATCAAAAACCCTGAAGTCAACTTTTTCGGCTCCGTGATCTTCGCAGACATGGACAAGTTCTTTTACACAGACGACGCCGAGCGAGCACACAAGATTTACGCAGCAAACCCTCAGCCCCTTCGAGACGCCGACCAGATTTACATTCCGTACAACCTCCAGTAGAAGAAGTCAGATCGCGAGTGGAAACCCCGGGCAAGAGCCGAAGAAACACCCGACAACACACAGAGAACCGACCAGAAATCCCATCGCAGGATTACTCCCACCGCAAGTTCTTCTCCATAAACTTCGCCGCCCGACGAGACGGATCCAACCCAACTTTCGACGGTTATTTCCGGGCCATTACTATGTATGGATGAGAAGCGCCTTTCCTCAACAATATCACGAGTTACCGAGCCATTCTTGAGCGATACCGAAACGCCTTCCCCGACCAGATCGCCAACTCGGAAGGGGGCTTGTTATCGACTCTGTTCTATCAGTGCTTTTGCGTCAGTCGTCTGTCCAGTCCACACTCTCTAACCTGGAAGGACCGCTCGTGTATAGCAAAGTGTAGACGTACATTTGTCTGACGCCAGATATCAACCTCTGTTGTATGCCATGCGTGAACAATATCACCTTGTTTCTGCTCGCCATCTCTCCAAATTGCGCCTGATCCAATCGTCTTCGCAATATCCAGCACATTTCGTCCTTGGATATAATACATGGTGTCCTTCAAGTTGTCATGTACGCGTCTGCTCGTGGCTAGGCCCGATACACCACCAATGCTCGAGGCTGTGTCTGGTGCATCGAAGTGCTCAGGACGGTGTACACGGGCTCGCTCGCATACAATGTCTGCCTCTGCCGCCCCTCCATCGCACAATCCACCGCTCACCCTCGTAGTCGTGAAATCGTAAAAGTCCTCGTAGCCGCTCGAAGGCGCTCATTCGGATGGGGAAATCGGAAGCTACCACGTAAACGCAACCGGGCATACGTTCGGATAGTAATGAAGGTGAAGCCGAAAGTGGTACCAATGGAGAAGAAGATGGTGAAGTCGGCAGGGTTGGGATGTGAATAGAAAGGTGCCCCCTTGGCAATGCCGTCCTTGATCTACCTCAAGCTCAAGATAAGAGGAAAGGTGAAGCCTTTGGCGCCTGATGCACTCGCTGGAAGGAGTTTGGCTATTTCATTGGCGGAAGGGGTGGTTGCCGTTCTTGTCACCCTGTTGTGGGAAGAAGACATTATGGTGACGCTTGGCAGCTACACGAGCTTCTCCGGTTGAGCTGGAGGGTGACGCGAGGCGACCGCGGGCGGCCCCACGGATGATGGCAGAAAGAGCTTGATCATACTATTACAAGAGTTGGTACACCTTGGTATAGAGGAAGGGGATACAAGTGTATGTTGGTACTGATCAGGCACGGGCAGTAACAGAGGCTTTCGGCAGACAGCAACGGGGAGCAGCAGTACGTTTACCCAAACGGTCCAAGCTTAGTTGATCCATGCCGATGTTGAGCCAGAAGTCAGCGCCGATGACTTGGCATCCCGTTCAATCAGGTGGATGCAAACCTAGGCGCCAGCGATGTCGTTCACGCGCTGCACCGCCTTCTCAGGCACAATCTCATAACATTCAAGGACAACAGCAGGTCCGACAAGTACATCTGCTGAATGCCGCGGATGTCGTGACAGACAACACACCTCCTGTTTTCCTCTATCTGCTGCAACATACAACATATCATATCCACCCAGCGTATAGAGGACGCTTATCGTGCGCACCACAACGCATAACAACCAGACGTTATAACTTCCTATCTCTCATCTCATTATAACGGTACGGCTGAAGTTCTGCAGCGTTTTCTGTTTGCATTTTCCTCACGCGTTCTGCATGTTACGACTGTTTCACCAGCATACATACCTAGGGGCCCAACTGCACTAGGTACGTTGTGTGGGGTGTATCATGTGGAGTCTTTCTCATCTACGTACGGGTAGGTGCGATATCCCTGATAGGTTAGCTCAATTTACCCGAGGTACTGTTAGTTCCAACGTGCACTCTCCAATAAGCACCCGCTTACATAACACAACTACCCCGCATGTATCCACACTTCGGCTCCGTACCCTGTCCTCCGCTCCGCTTTCGGTCCCGAAATCAGCCGGCAATGCATAAACTCACACATTATATACCGCATAATCATCCCCTTCTTCCAACAAGTTCATTGATTCATTAAGGTGGAGTGTCCGAGTGGTCTAAGGAGCTAGATTTAGGCCGTAAGGCATCAGTCTCTAGTGGGCAACCGCGCGAGTTCGAATCTCGTCTCCATCAGAATCAAATTTTTTGTTTTTTGTTTTTGTGATTCTGGCATTGTATGCGCCATTCCCCAGGAACCAGGCAGGTATTGACGGTCCTGGACGATTGTTCCTTCTGCTGACTGACCCTTTCTGAAAAAAAAAAAAAGAAACTTTGACTCTGTACCTATGTGGCTTTGCCTCACTCTGTGCTGAGACTGCCCACCATCTGAATTAGGCCTGAGGCATCAACACCGAAGCAGGTGGCACGAGTGCACAAGGTTCTCATACGGTCATACCCACCTCTGACTGGGGAAAAATCCGCCGGTAGACTCCTAAATATACTCAGTCGATTTTAATAAGTTTTTGTCCTTTTCGCTTGGTGCTCATCAATTTCTGGTCTCCCCTTCTAGAAACCAAGCGCGACTCTTATGTTGAGTCCTAGGCCGTCAGACCAGACCGCTGCCATCTGAAAGCACTGCTTCCTGTGGGGAGCGATTGGAGCCATCCTGGCTGACGACAACCGGCCGCATCCGCCGCCCCCCCTTGACTCTGTACCTATGTAGCTTTGCCTCACTCTCTGTGTCAATCCGAAGCCCGACCCTCCAACGACGACGTCAACAGCGCCAATTCACCAAAAAGCGCTCCTCTTCGGAATGCGAGCGGCCGCTCCACTAAGCGTGTGCTGAAACCCTTACCAGCAATTACGCCCCCAACACAACGATTCACAACCATCATCGCCATAAGCACACAACCGCGCCCTCGATGCATTTCCACAGCGACAGACGGGAAGGTTCAGCCACACGCTCCTGCCGCCGAAAACTCAGCCACGCCCCCTTCCGCGAACAACCAGCCGTCACCTGAGCTGGATCTGACCCCGATCCACGCAGCCCAGCGCTGAGAAGGAACGACCTTTTCCAACCATGGTCATATCGGTTACCCAGTTCGCCGGCGGCACCTGCGACCAGCCACGCCCACGGAGTCTGCGACGATCCTGACTAGGTATTTCTTCACCCCAAAGCCAACGTCAACCTCTCATTTTCATTAACCTCTGACAGGCACATCTGCTCTGACGGCCCGCCTCTCCGACCTTCAATTCCTGTCCTGCCCCTTCATCTGCATTTTAGACACTTGGACAGTGTCATCGTCAGAGCCATTACGGGCAAGGATCGCCTTATTCCAGGACAGCCCCAGAACAGACATTGCCTAATTAATTACTCTTCTGGCGTATGACACGCTCCCCGCAATCAACCAGTTCACTCATCCCTCGTAGTCAACATCTCATATTCACGTTCACAAACACTATCCTCGTCTCCGACGCCATCCAACACCATACCCATTCTCACGTCTTTTGATCCAGACGATCCCCCACAAAACACGGTTCCGCAGGTGGAGGAGCCAGCCAAGGTCTCATCCAAGCACGAGACAACCACGCAATTAACTATCGACCAACCACTTACGCCTCAAATACAAAAACCAGAAACCCTCTTTCGCTCGTACCAAATTACACACATCCTACCTTGTGAATAGCCTCGCCTATGAGTACAACACTTACTCTCACCTCCAAACCATCATCCACGCCCCGTCTGGGCCAGGCTCCTGACCCAAACCCACTTGCATCGGCCTCAACCCAACGCGTCTTCGTCACCACATGTCGCCAGACCCGAGCCACACTCCCGCCGCCGCCCACCCGTCAATTACCGACAAACAGCCTGCCACCCGCGATGACACCGCACTCGCGGATATTGCCAACTTGCCTGACGCAGCCGTCCCTCCTGCAGACGCTGCCACAGACAACACAGCCAGCACACCGGGCGTTGTTGCTGAGCTTACGATGTCCGACGAATTCCGCAAAAAACTGCTTACTGACCTTCACAAAGATCCAACATTTCGACGGATCTACAATTACATGACGGACAAAGGCCTCCAGAAGCCCCGCAAATTCGTTTGCGACACGGACGGTTTACTCTGCTTCCGAGACGACAGCTACAGACTCTGTGTCACCTCGCCCTTGGTACAAGACGTTTGCAAAGCCGCACATGACGGCCCCGTGCACATGTTGGCGTCGACAGAGCCCATCACTTCCTACGACAGACCTGCTTCTTCTAGGGCATCAAGTGGGCGCTGCTTGCGCATATCGGCCTGTCTAGGATGCGGTAAATCAAAACCATCTCGAGGTCTCATATACGGCGACATGGAACCCGTCGACGTCCCTAAGGTTCCGCTGTCCACTATCTGTCTTGACTTCTTAGTCTCATTGCCATTGTCACAGCAGGGACACGATTCTATCCTTCTGCTTACGGACAAAACCTCCAAGTTCATCAAGGCTATCGTGGGGAACGCCGATTGGACAACGGAATAATGGGCTGACGCTTACGTGCGACAAGTCTACTCTGACTGGGGATTGCCAGACCTTTTCATCTTCGACGCCGTTTCCAAGCTTATTTCAGCCCTGTGGATATCCATCTTCCGCGCCGCCAACATCGACATTCGAGTCTCAGCCGCCTACTACCACCAAGCCAACGGTCAAGACGAGAGAAGCATCCAGATCCTCGTGCACGCTTTCCAATCACTCATGGGCGCCCAACTCGATCAATCAAATTGGGAAAGAGATCCTGCCACACATCCTCAAGGCTCTCAACGCTTCTATCTCAGCCACGACCAAGCAAGTCCCATACGACGTCCTCTTCGGACGCACGGCACGCACCTTCCTCGCTCCGACCCGACAGCCGCCTCAGGACTACGGCGACAGACAGTACGACCTCAAACAACAATCATTGGACGCCATTGTCACTCTTCGCCATCGGTTCGTCGCGTGGCCTACCTGCGCCCTGACTCTTGCACATCTTGCCGAAGACCGTAGAGGACTCTACCATGGCCAACCAACTTCATGCCAGCGGTGTTGGACGCCGCGCAGCTGTCGCTCGCCAGGATGAAAAGCTACGACCAGCAGCATCGATCACCTCCAGTGCTGTCCAAGGGTGGCATGGTGTACATCAAGCTCGCCGAGAAAGGCCAACCTGGTTACCATCGTGACGGCCAAACCAAAGAAGTTCGTCATTGGGACAATCATGCAGCACGAACGACGACACGGCAAACTTCATTACAAGATCAAGGGGCTCGGATATCCTGAATCTTCACGGCACGACGCATCAGTCATCAAGCAAGACGTTCCTCAACTCGTTCGCCGATACCATCCCTCTTCCATCACAACAAATTGTAGCGATGTGAGCTACACCCGGCACAAAACGCGCGTGTCGGATGGGAACGGACTTCGCATTTTTATTCTACATCACGTGGAACATGTCCAATCCCCTTGGATCAAACACAGCTGGGGCAAATGCTTAGGCTTGATCCAAGTAGGCTGTAGTGGCCTCGATAGTTTTTTTGCACCTTCCCTATTCTTCCTCTACTTACACATGATATCAAACCCTCCCACTCACAACAAATTTTTTCGCTCCTTCCGTTTACCAGCTCAACAACTCCCGCGTTTGTAAACAATCGGCTCGATGCATAATATCAAACCCTCCCACTCATAACAAATTTTTTCGCTCCTTCCGTTTGCCAGCTCAATAACTCCCGCGTTTGTAAACAAAACTGCCTCATCTTTTCCCTTTCACACCCACAACTATCTAACTCCCTCTTCACCTCGACCATCCATCACCTTTTCACTGCCTTTTCATCACCCTTCCACTGCCCTTTTCATCAACTTTCTCCTGTTTTCCCTCTCTTCAACCTCATCATCCACACTACCCGTCCACATCGGCATCTCTCCTTCCGGAGTCACTCGCCACAATGGACGACCAAGCGGCCGCCTTGCTTGACTTGGCGCTCGAGAACTGCGTGATCAAAGATGACGATCACGCGACCACTGATATTTCTGATGACGAGCTCCCAGCCCTCCCCCGCGACAATCCGGTCGAGCTCACTACTGATCTCTCTAACTACTACGAGCGTCGCCGTGAGACGCTCGCGGAGAGAAGACAGGCACTCGACGACGCTGCCCCCGCTGATCCGTTTGTCACCAGCACAAGCACAGGTGACGAATGGGGTTCCGAATGGGCCGCTCAGCCTGCGAACGATGACTGGAGCACTCAGCCCTACGACGACGCCTCGAACGTCCAGCTCACTGAGTCCACTGCCGACACACAGGAAGCCAAACCAACCAAGAAATGGCAGCCATACGCTCATGAGGCCTTCCCCACAGCCCAGATCGGACAAGTTGGCGCCTCGGTTGAGGTTGACGGCGAACAAATCGTTGTGAGCCACACCAGACCTACCCGACTGGAGTCCATCAAAATGTCATGCATTGTGGACGTCAAGGACGAGGTTGTTGGTTACTCTCGCTCCACCCTCGCCTCTGTTGGAGCCTTCCCCAAAGCGCACACCATTACGCACATTTCTATCGTGCAGAAGAACACCTTCCCTATGGAACTTCGCATCCGTCACATCTTCCGATCCAAGGGTACTACAACTACGGCATACCTCATGTGCATCCCCATCACCGCCTGTACCGAACAGCCTCGCGTCGAGTACCACAAGGGTAACTCTGACGCACAACGCGCACGCCTGTTCGGACAAGACAAGGCTGTCCTCTTCGCTGACTCGATGCGTCTCGTGGTCCACGTCAGACCTGACGCCATCTGGCTCCGTAAGGTCGGCAGCACCGCACCGAACGATTCGGATGCCACCCAGACCTTGGTTCGGGAATGGGCGGACAAGCTCACCGACGCGATGAAAACTTCAGCCCAACTTCAGCTGGGGTTTTCTATGGCTCCCAACCAAGTCTTCATATCCAACTTCATGCTTCCGGTCATGGATGATTTCGAACGCATCCACAACGAACCGTCGCTCGCTTGGACTGAAGCCCATGCCTTCTTCCGGGATTACAAGAACCCCCGCCAGTTGGGATGGAAGACCCTCAACATTAATGTTCCGCGACCTGAGTTGCCCAACGCACCGCAGATCGTCTTCACATCCGAGACCGCACGCATTCTTGCGATGCAGATGTCCTCATATGAGGAGCTTGAGATTGAC